ATTACATTAGCTTTAATTTAAGATATATATAAAAGTGTCAGACTTTCCGGAACACTTTCAAAATTTAAGTTGAAAAAGTTCTACTTTCTACATGCATTTTTTAGATTTGAACCCCCCTCGTATATAGGAAAATGGTCGGATTTAAAAAAACAGTATGTCAAATGAAAGATCTATATAAATACTACTTCTCATAAAAAAATTGTAATGATCCATACATTTTTCAAAAAGTTATAGCATAATAAAGTTAAAAATGTAAAATACAAAATCAAAAATTTTTACACAAAAATAGCATTTGGTAGCCATTTTCACTATGAAGATAAAATAAAGTCCGAAATTTATTTTTTTTACATAATAAAGTATATTACATTAGCCTTAATTTAAGATATATATATAAAAGTGTCAGACTTTCCGGAACACTTTCAAAATTTAAGTTGAAAAAGTTCTACTTTCTACATGCATTTTTTAGATTTGAACCCCCCTCGTATATAGGGAAATGGTCCGATTTAAAAAAACAGTATGTCAAATGAAAGATGTATATAAATACTACTCCTCATGAAAAAATTGTACTGATCCATACATTTTTCAAAAAGTTATAGCATAATAAAGTTAAAAATGTAAAATACAAAATCGAAAATTTTCACACAAAAATAGCATTCGGTAGCCATTTTCACCGTGAAGATAAAATAAAGTCCGAAATTTTTTTTTTCCATAATAAAGTATATTACATTAGCTTTAATTTAAGATATATATAAAAGTGTCAGACCTTCCGGAACATTTTCAAAAGTTAAGTTGAAAAAGTTAATTTTTTGTGAAAAAGTTGTCATTTTAAATCCCCCCTTGTGGGCAGGTTAAGGGTTAAATTTATGAAAAAAATATACCAAATGAAAGGTAATGATATTATGCATCTATATAAAAAAGAATTATATTGATATGTTCATTTTTGAAAAAGTTATGGCACTTTTAAGTAAAAAAAATTGAAAAAATTTCGAAAATTAGCGATTTTTAAATTTGTAATTTTTTTGGAGGTTTCCCCCATTTACGGGGAACGAGAGCATTTTTTTCAATTTTTGAGGGTAATGTCTTTGACTAGATACAATTTGTGATTTTTTGACGTATCATTGGAAGAAATTGGTTCGGTGAGAGCTGAGAAAAAGTGGTAACAGACACAAAAAAAAATTAATTAATTAATTAATAAACACATCTTAGTAAAACCAATACCTTCTCAGCTTTGCATCGAAGCTAAAATTTACTGATTTTTAAATTTGTAATTTTTTTGGATATTTCCTCCATTTGCGGGGAACGAGGGAAAATTTAAGGGTAATGTCTTCAACTAGATACGATATTTTGACGTATTCTTGAAAGAAATCGGTCCAGTGAGAGCTGAGAAAAAGTGGCAACAGACATAAAAAAAAAAAAAAAAAAAACACATCATCATAGTAAAATTAATACCTTCTCAGCTTCGAATCGAACTTAAAATATTATTCACAAAATCTAATAACACATATTCATAATTATAGTCTATCATACAAATTTATGAAAATACTACGAAATTAAATTTGATTTTCACGGTAGTTAAATGATAATAATTTTCTCGATATAGTGAAATAGTGGTCATTTCTGTTTGGTCACGGCATGTATTTACATGAATAATAAAAAAGAAAAAATGTACCCTATTTTCATTAATAATATTTTTAGTCAACATCCAGTATTTCAGTAGTGATATACTTGTAAGTAATTGTTCAGGTTATTGTATTTTTAACAAAATTATTTTTTTAATTTCTTAGGGAGTATCTTTTAGAATAAAAAATTATTTCTGCCGATTGAATAATATTTTTAAAATAGTGTGACCGTTTTTATAATAATTAGTCTTGGTAGCATCTTCTTTTGTTCAAAAATTGTCAACTAAAACGATTAAATTTTGGAAACTAGAGTGTGCGACACTCCCTTCTTAAAACGGCCCTGGGGATACTCCACACATTTTAGTAATTTATCTTACAAAATTGTATAATTTTAATAATTTATAATATAGTTTTATAAAAGAATAAGAATTCAATATAATTTCATATATCGATTGAAAGAATGTCCCCTTTACCAAATAAAAAGTTGCTTAACCAATCTTCTCCATAAAAACAATAAAAATTCATCACTTCTAATATTTTTTATGTATATTCTGACGAATTAAATTTAATATGATAATATGTGTCACTTAAAAGTTAAATATTCTTAATTTGTTACTTGTTAATTTTTTAACTCTATTTGTATGTTGTACTACCAGTCTATAATATTTCACATAGTTTGGTAACATGTTACAGTATAAATAATTTCTAAAAAAACCATTTTGAATTATACCTAAATTTAACAATGTATTTTTACAACTATAATCAATTTTTATTATACGATCAATTTAGTAGATTTTTTTAACAACTTTTTGTTTTTTTTTTTTGTTTCGATGCGAATCTAAGAAGGTTGGTCTTGTGATGCTGTGCGTTTTTTATTTATCTGTTTGCTAAAATTTTATCAAATGATAAATATATATCTAGTATATCTAAAAAAAAAAAAAATTATGTAGATTTGTTTTAGGAAAAAAAAGTTTAATAAATGTCAAAATTACCGATTTTTAAAATTATAATTATTTTAGTGATTTCCCATTTACGGAGAACGAGTGAAATTTTTTCAATTTTTGTGGGTAATGTCTTTGACTAGATACGATTTGTGATCTTTTGACATATCGTTGAAAGAAATCGGTGCGGTGAGAACTGAGAAAAAGTTGTAACAGACACAAAAAAAAACACATCGTAGTAAAATGAATACTTTCTCAGCTTCGCGTCGAAGTTCATACGTTTAATCGAATAGATTTTTTTAAAAAATTTTCTGATTGTTTTTATTTAGTTTCATTGTGAAATTAAGAAGTTATTGGTCTTGTGCGTTTTATTTATGTCTATCCATAAAAATTCTTAGCTTTCACTGGACCAATTTTGATGATTATACGTCAAATGAACCAAATTTAATTTATTTGAACTTATAGTCATCAAATATTGGAAAAAATCCTTTAAATTTAAAAATTTAGACAAATATCTACTATAAAAAATGGCAACTTCAAAATTTTTTTTTAAATATAACTCTATTTTTTAAAAATATCCTCAAATTTTAAGAGTATAAAATTAGTTTTTTATATTGAATTATACAGTAAAATAATATCATTAAAATGATATATTTTTTAATGATTATAGAACAATATATACTTTGCTAAACCAAATATCTATTCTGATTTTAAATCTAAAATTGGATTTTTTCTATCACCACTTTTTTAAAGATTACAACTATTTAGAAAATGAGTATACATTTGAAAATATTTTATTTTAAAATTTTTACATATAAAAAAATTTGGTCATAAAAATTAGGTCATCTGGACAATATTTTTTTAAACTTATTGTAACTAACATAAGCTTTAATTTATCATATATTTAAAAGACGTAGTATTTCATGAATATTAGTTATGTTAACAGTATAACAACAGTATAGTTTAAATTGGATGGGTCTATATACAATTCAGCATAATAATAAATATCGATATATTCATATAATATGATGCATATATGTTTTAACTTTTTTTGAAAAAAAAATGGTATTATTTATAAATAATGTTAATTATTATTTATCAGAATTGAATTTTCGCCATATAATTATTTTTGTCACGAGGGGATATGACACCCTTATAACCCCCATAATTAAGCCATGCCTTTACTAAAAGACCAACCTATATGCCAAATTTCATGTTTCAGTTGTCTTATAATTTTAATGGTGAGTAAAGAAAACTTTGAAATTTTTCCATTTTAAAATGGATAACATGTTTATAGCGTACTAATTTACTTTAAGTCCAATAAATGTTTTGAATTTCAAAAACCTATTTTAAGAGTAAACAAAGATATACTTGCATTGTTAGAATATGATCGGTACACTATCGTGCGATCATATAAAGTAAATAAGTGAAAAATATTATAATAAACAAACAAATTAAATTTGATAATAAATAGACATATTTTTATCTACATGTTGCTACTTTTAAATGTTTTGTTATAACAGTTATATTATTGATTACTAATAAAGGTATATTTAAGAATAAATTATTCTTTATACCTTCGGTTTATCGGTTAATTTTTTATAGTTAAATGAAAATTAAATTCGGATTCATCTTGTTTTGTGGATTTGTTTGGATCGGATTAAAAAAGTATAACTTAGATCTGACGGGGCTTATATAAAATATAGAATAAATAACGGTATATTCATACAACTTCATTAATATATAAATTTAATTTTTTTTTTTTTTGAATAATAATCATATTATTTATAAATTAAATTAATTATTATATGAAAATTTATTAATTCATAATTAACTATACTCCATAAATTCAAGTGACTTCTTTTCAACAATTATATTTCATACGTTTTTTCAGATAAATGGAGTGCAGTTTGCTTTGTATAGTATAAATTGGACCGAGAAAAGTATAAAATTAAAAAAAATCGTCTTATTGGCTACGTGCTTAAATAAAACAAACAAATTAAAAACAAATAATACTCGAGAAAAATCGTTGAATTTACAAATATTTGGCTCTGTAAGTTTGTTGAAAACAGAAACACTGAAATTTTTGTGTACAGGATGAGACGACTCAGGTGGTGGCCTAGTACGCCGAAACTGTTAATTAAAATTTTTGTTAGCAATATTATTTTTAGCTTCGATGCGAAGCTGGGAATGTGTTCATTTTAACGGACATTTGCACATAGAAAATAGGTTATCGAGAAAAATTTATTTTTTTAACTTATAGTACCTAACATAAGTTTTAATTTAATATATATTTAAAAGACTCAGTATTTGCGAATCTTTTTTAAAATTTAAGTTGAAAAAGATCTACTTTTTATTCGAATATTTCAAAATTTGAACCCCTCTTGTATAAAAGGAAATGGTCCGATTTAAAAAAAAAAGGATTTCAGTAAAAGGGGTTTATATAAAGTAGTTATAAAAAAAAGTTGTGTTCATTTAAACATTTTTCAAAAAGTTATAGCTATTTAAAGAGGAAAATATAAAATTAAAAATTTTAACACAAAAATAGCATGATTTTTAATTACATCAGCCATTTGCTGATAGAGCATAGAGGATAAGTTGTCGGAACAATTTTTTATTAATTTATAGTACGTAACATAAGATTGAATTTAATATATGTTTAAATAACACAGTATTTCCGTAACATTTTCAAAACTTAAGTTGAAATAGTCATATTTTTGTGCAAAAGTTGCTATTTTAAATCTCCCTGTGGGCAGGTTAATAGTTAATTTTTCAAAAAATGTATATCAAATAAAAGGGAAATACCTATGGTATTTATATAAAAAAACATTATTTTGATTTGTTCATCTTAAAAAAGTTATGACATTTTTGTGAAAAAAGTATAAAAAATAACATCAGTTAAACGATTTTAAAAATCATAATTTTTTTTAGATAATTTTACACGAAAAGTTAACTTTTTCAACAAAAGCTTTGAAAATGTTCCGAAAAGTGTAATTTTTAACAAAATTATCATTACATTTTTTATGTAATCAAAAAATATTGATAAAATAAAACATAATCATAAGCACTTTATACACATCAAATTTAAAATTTTTGCATCCAAATGATTCGTATTTAAAGACAATGCTTTTTAATTGAGCATATAACATCCCAAAAAATTGTATAATTATTGTGTTGTAGGAAATGATATCAATAATTATATGTATTATTTCAATAAATTAAAATATAAATACAATTAGGTAAATTCGCTTCTACACCGGAATTGGTATAAAAACTTAAGAATGAATTTATGACGTGTTTTGATAAATAACCAGACATCTCTTCTTTTTAAAGAAAATTCTTTTGGACAAAGATGGACTAATTATCTAAGCTGAAATCAACGAAACATATTGTAAAAGTGTATACGTTTATCATTGTAGTACACATAGATTTATAATGTCTAATTATAAATTTTCTATTATGATTCGAGAATAGAAAATCGCTACATATTGCATCGAATAATTTTCTTAAACCAACATATTTTGTCGAATGTATATTATAGGCGTTGAGAAATGTTTGAAAAGTACACATTACATATATATAATGTTGATACTGAAAATAAAACGTTCATCACATTGTAAGAACCGATAAACATAGCATTTCATTACAATAAACTCTACTAATAATAATAAAATAATAGGAGTTGGTAAAAATTATAATTCTGAATTTTAGTAAATTTGAAAGGGTTAAATTTACAATAAAGACTTAGATATCTTAATGTTCGATCATTTAGAATAAATTTCTCTTGAATTTTGTTTTGTATTTTACTTCTAAGTACTCTCGTTCTGCACTTAAATAGGTAATTGTGTCTAAAAAAATATATAATTATTTAGAAAAATTATGATAATATCAAATAAAATGTACTGATTTTTCATCTATTTATTCTTCTTCTTTTTCGCCTTAATCCCAACTACTTGGGGTCGGCCCCCTTATCCTAAACTTCCACTTGACACGATTTCCCACATCTTCTACGCTCACATCAGCTGTCCTCAAATCGCATTCAATAGCATCCCTGCATCTCTTTTTTGGTCTTCCTCTATCTCTTCTTCCTTCAACATTAATTTCTACAACTGTTCTTACGGTTTCCGATTCTTCTCTTCTCATAACATGACCAAACCATTGAAGTCTATTTTCTCTCATATTATCCACGATTGATGCTACACCTATACTCCCTCTTATATGCTCATTTCTTATCCTATCTTGGCCGTGGAAGTATTCTAGCCCTATCCATATGGAAAATCCTTTTCATCTATTTACTGAACTAAATAGCGATTAATTAACTATGCCTTACGAATTATCTTTTAAAGTATAACACACATTACAATTTTTTCTTTTCAGAAGTTTATAGTATTCTATATTCTATATTCTATAATTTTAAAAGAAAAAAATTAATCCTCTCAACCCTTTAAAATAGTATCAACTTTTGAACCATTATGGATGGAGAAGTAGTGCAATTCATAATTGCCTAGGGATAATAATAAATAGACCCGCATTACTTCTCTCGCCACAAGTTCTAATATCTTTTAAAACAGTGGATAAAAAATTATTACCGACCAATCATTTTCTTAGTTAGATCATTTTTTAGCTTCGATGCGAAGCTGAGAAGGTATTAATTTTACTATGATGTGTTTTTTTTTTTTTTGTCTGTAATCTCAGCTCTCACTGAACCGATTTTGATGAAAAATATGTCAAAAGATCACAAATCGTATCTAGTTGAAGACGTTACTTTCAAAAATTAAAAAAATTTCCCTCGTTCCCCGTAAACGGGGGAAATCCCCCAAAAAATTACAAATTTAAAAATCGCTAATTTTCGATATTTTTTTCATTTATTTTTACTTAAAATTGCCATAACTTTTTTAAAAATTACCAAATCAATATAATTTTTTTTTTATAGATACCTTAGATATTTACCTATCATTTTATATATTTTTTTGAATATTTGACCCTTTAACAGCCCACAGGAAGGGTTTCAAAATGGTAACTTTTTTACAAAAAATTAACTTTTTCAACTTAACTTTTGAAAATGTTCCGGAAAGACTGACACTTTTATATATATCTTAAATTAAAGCTAATGTAATATACTTTAATTTGAAAAAAAAAAATTTGACCTCTGGACTTGTCTTCATGGTGAAAATGACTACCGTATGCAAAAATATGCTATTTTTGTGAAAAAATTCTTGATATTATATTTTACATTTTTTAACATTATGTTGCTATAACTTTTTAAAAAATGCATGAATCAACTTTATTCTTTAATGATAAATACTTTATATATACTTCTTTCATTCGACATACTTTTTTTTAAAATCGGACCATTTCCCTTTATACAGGGGGGGTGCAAACCTTTTAAAATGCGTATAGAAAGTAGAACTTTTTCAACTTAACTTTTGAAAATGTTCCGGAAAGACTGACACTTTTATATATATCTTAAATTAAAGCTTATGTAATATACTTTAATTTGAAAAAAAAAAATTTGACCTCTGGACTTGTCTTCGTGGTGAAAACGGACATCAAAGTTAAAGAAAAACGTACGATTTCCGTGAAAAAAATCTCGATTTTATATGTTATATTATTTAATTTATATTTTATATAACTTTTGGAAAAATGTATGGATCAATATTATTATTTTTTTATAATAAATATTTATATACCCTTTTCATCTGGCACGCTTTTTTTGTAAATCGGATCATACCCCTTTAACAAGGGGGGTCAAAACTTTAAACATGTGTATAGTTACTAAGATATTTTCAATTTAATTTTTGAAAGTATTCCGAAAATACTGACACTTTTATATATATNACTTTTTCAACTTAACTTTTGAAAATGTTCCGGAAAGACTGACACTTTTATATATATCTTAAATTAAAGCTTATGTAATATACTTTAATTTGAAAAAAAAAAATTTGACCTCTGGATTTGTCTTCATGGTAAAAATGACTACCGTATTCAAAAATTTGCTATTTTTGTGTTAAAATTCTGGGTTTTGTATTTTATTTTATTTTAAAATACCTGACAAGGGGAGTACAGATTTTCATAAATATTATATAAATTAAAATTAATATAGCATAGAAAGTTAAACTTATTTAAATTTGTTTGCTTCTTATAAGTCGAGAAAAATAACTTTGAAATTTGAATTAGCTTAAATAGCCAATTTTTTCTTCCGACGGTATCAACGTACGGTTGCCGAGTTGGTAAAGCTTATGCTTTACACGCTTGGGGTATGAGGTTCCAACCTGCGTATGGCAATGAAATTTTTGCATTTATTCTTAATTCTTTTTAAGTTAGTATAAATTTTTAACTCGTTTGATTTTTATCTCATTCAGATTCAATAACTTCAATAAAGATCAAGGATCCCATCACTTTAGTCGCCCCTTTGCAAGAAGAAATTTCTTATTCGTATTAAAATTATTTTACTATATTTTAAGTTTTCGCTTCGATGCAAAGCCGAGAAGATATTTTTTTGTGACTATCATTTATTTTCTCTGCTCTAACTTGACCTACTTTTTTCAACAATACGTC